GAGTGCCACATTCTTACTTGCTGTGGTTTGTTGGTGTGTATTAACAAAAAGTTATGATATCTAATCAAAAACACCTTAGATGTGAAGAAAAAAATGCAGCCATAAAAGGATTGAGTGTGCGACTTAAAGGAATGAAATCAAAATTGGCAGCCAAACTGGTAGCTACACTTATAGTATTGATAAGAATTCTACATCAAATATTCATTCATTAGTAGCTAGGCTGCCTATTTTGTTTTACCCACCATCCTTTGTTACTCTTTGCCATACTTATATAAAAGCATGTATCATGTTCTAAGCAGAAAGGACATGTGTTAAGAACTATAACTTATTAAAAATAATAACAAAAGAACATGAGCATTTTGGCTAAAATTTATTACAGATACAGCTTACTTGGTATGGAAGATTAGAGTACTTGTTAAGCATAGCTCCTATGATTCCAAACTGTGCTGACTTGAAAGATAAACATCCTTCATCTGGAAAAAAAAATAGTAGGTGAAATATCTTTCAATTGAGAGGTCAAATTACTCAGACTTATTATATTTTATGTAATCATAATTGTGCCTTTTAAACAATAAAGTCTTTTCTCAGAAATAAAAAACATATATGCTTACAATATCTTATACATTTTTAAAACCAAGTGTAAAAACCTTTGGAGATTATCATACACTGTAACTTGCAAAGTTTAAGAAAATGTTCAGAAATTAATATACTGGATGGCTTAAAAATTCTGTGAAAAAGTATGAGCCTTCATTTTCCCTAAAAGAAATAACTTTCCCAAATAATTATTGTGTGTGCAGATTCTATTGTAACTTCTACATTAGTTAATAACTTTTAATGTCATAAAATTTCTATCTGTTTTATACAAAGTTGTGGTTTATTCATGTGTTATAGTTAGAGCATAGGCAATAGTACATCTATATTTTACAAATAAATGTTATAAATTTATATTCTTAGTAAATGGTGTATATGTTTACATTTTCCTATAACAAAAATGTATTTCTGATAATACTTACCTCCTCTCATACTTTACCTTTATCATGACAAAAGGTTCTATTCTTTACTGTTTAAGTAATGGTACAAATTCTATCTTGCTTGCTCCAATATTTATACCCCACTATATTGCCTATAGTGATTAAAATCTTGTGACTCTCTCCATTTACATCAATGCGCCTTCTTTACCCGATCCACATATAAGCTCCCCGTTATTCTTTCTCATTCACTTTTCTGAGACTGGCAATATTATCAGACCTGAACACTGGCTATCATGGGGAGGAAGGGTGGGATTGTATGAAAGAAGGTAAGTATTATCAGAAATATATATTCGGTATAGGAAAATGTAAACTTCCGAAACACAGTTCTACTCCCACACTGAGAAGGTGGAGAGGCCGGTGAGGGCAAAATCCACACAGAAAGCATCTGCATAGAAAAACAGGTGTGCAAAATTGGAATATAATAAAGCACACTTGTGGGGCTCTGCACTATCTCAGGAACAGGTATGCTTTTCACCCACATAAAATGAGATCTAAATTTGGGCGGTAAAAATCAACCCGGCTACAGAGTCAACAATGTTCATTATTATGATGAGATCCATCCAGGCCCCAACTGCACAGATAAGGTTCCAAGGTGTAGTGGCTAGGGCATAGAGACCGCAATATGATATAATTGTAAAATAGGAACATGATATGAAGGGAATCCAACCTAAAGGTTAAAGGATGTTGCACGTTGAGCCACCGGAATTACAAAGAAAAGGTAAGCAACACTTAAGTGGACAAATGCTCACTTCAACTTGAAGAAGCACAAAATGCAACAAACTGAACTCAGAATTATGGGCCTAGGCACCCAACATGAAAGTTACTGAATATCACATGTGAGTCACCAGAATTATGAAGGGAAGACAAGCAATACCCACATGGACAAGTCTTTCCCATAACCTGAAGAAGCACAGAATGTAACTAACCAAACTTAGAATTACAGCCAATTCATGTCTCACTCAACCTGAAGAAACAGAGATCATCTGGCCTGGGATTATGAACCAAAATCTTAATTCCTCAACCTGAGAAGCAAAGCAACACTCCTGCCTCCGGAATTAAGAGGAGGATGTAGAACAAATGAAGTTCAACCAATGGCTCATGGATGTGATGCTCCGCATGCAGAATTATGAGGAGTCAAGGACCCTCTTTCTTGATCCTGGAAAGTAAGAGAATGATGAAAAGAAGAGCCACACTCACACAACTGGATAGTGAAGTGTCATCTCTGAACCAGAATTATGAAGAGGCTCCCACTTAAGCTGGACCGGCTCCCCACCTGACATCTGGGAAAAACATTCAGGGTTAAGGGTGGAAGAGTATCCAGCTTTGCTCTCTTCCCCTTGAGTAGAAAAAAGAGCACAAACATCACTTAGGAGGAATAAACCTGTGTCCACCACTCCAGCAACTGGAAACTAAGAGTGGTAAGGACTCCCTTGCTCCACTAGCAGAGAGGGGGGATTCACATTGGGGAGTCCTGAGGGACAATGCTCTGGAGACAGTGCAATAGGAGAACCACATTTCCTAGTTTGAAAAGCAAACCGATGCTGATTTGTTCAAGTCAGGGGTTAGCAAGAATGGGCAAAGTCCCTTTATACTTTACTCATGATAGTCCATGAGTGACGGTTCAGTATTGCATATTAGATTTGATATATAACAATTGTTCACCACCCGGAAAATGTGTCAAGGCGATCTCGTGGAACACCCCATCTCAACAGAGCTCCTTTGTACCAGGAATTTAGTTATTAGTCTACTAGTAGCTAGTGCAAATTTGTAAAAGCATATCTGACCAGGAAACAGTCACTACTGAGTGAGATCCAAATGAGGATGATGAGAAGGTCACTGAAAAGGTATAGAATAGTACAAAAGAAATGATGTTACTCACCTTGTCACAATTAAGTCAGGTCATGCAGAATAGCCACGGGAGTAGCTGCAACCCATCAGAGTAGGAGACTACTAAATCATGTGAATAGTGCAATATAATGGTATTAGTTGTGGTCCACACACCAGCCTGTACAATCTCCTCCAGCTTAATGATGCAACCAAGCTGCTAGGGACATAAATATATGTTGAACTTGATGAGATGAGACCCTAAGAAGTCTCTGCCCATCCAATGAAAGACCAGAGTAAGATGTCCAAACCAACTGATGAATCCAAGTTGTCAAAGTGACAGGGGATAAGTCGTATGATATCTACAGGATCCCAATGGATAAATAACTGGCGACATGTGGTTAGAATAAAAGATGATCCAGATCTGAATGATCATACAAATGGGAAATGGAAGGAAGATGAACAGGAGAGAAAGCCTTATCTCATTCCCTAGCTACTGCAGTTTTAGGTTGAAAGTACCTGTCTGGATATGACATAACATAGTTGAAATGGTACAGTGTCCTGTGAACATGAAGTGCAAAAACATCTGAACATTGACGTACACTAGACAATAACAGAAGAAAATATGGCTTAAGTCAAAGATGATATTGCGAACATGACCCCAAAGGTACAAAAGGTTGACATGATCATGCATGGAGAAACACCATGATATCCCAATTAGGAACTTGGAAAGGGTGACGTGGATAGATAACCCAAAATGATTTCAAAAGTAATGACAAAACTGGGGACTCAAAAATTTTTATACTCTTAGAAAAACGAAAAGTAGCTGATAAGGCAACAGACAAAAGCACCAAACCTGTGTCAATCAATACAAGTCAAAACTTGAGTGACATGTGCACAGTGGGATGAAGTCGAAGAATGCCAACTGCTGGATGAAATATGTCCAACTGAGGCTGATGTAAGAGAGATGGTCAGGGGAAGAGGTTGACACTCCTGTAGATACTGGAGAAGTGGAAACCAGGCCTGACTCGGCCAATATGGTGCCACCAGAAAAACTGGACAGGACATGGAGCGAATCAATGCCAGAACCTTAGAGAACAGACAAATCAGAGGGAATGCATAAAGATGAAGACCCATCCATGGCTGAGAGCATCTACTCTAAATGCCAGAGGGTGAGGTACTGGAGACCAGATGGACAAGAGATGAGCATTCCAGTGTGTGGCAAAAGCATCGATCTGTGGTGTCCAATGAAAAACTTAAGGATGAAGCATCTGTTCTGTAGGAAGAGCTCTGTTGGGATGAGATAACTGGTCAGCTACTAAATTCATTACTCCTGGAACCTGACAAGCAAGGAGAACAATCTGTTGTTTGTGTGCCCAAAGGAAAAGATACACTGTTTGAAAACAAAGAGATTTGGAGTGAGTGCTCCCTTGTTTTGAAATGTACGAGACTACTGTGGAATTGTCCGAATGAAGCATTACCACATTCCCTCTCAACAATTCAAGACTCTGAGTCAAAGCAATTTGAACTGCTAAAGTTCTAAGATATTGATGTGAAGAGAAGGTATATTTACTGTCTAAAGACCCTTGAATTCCATATTTTCAATACAAGCACCCTATCCCTGAAGAGAAGCATTTGTGAACAGATGTGTCTCTGATTATGGAGGTGATAGAGGGACACCTATTTCTGTATTGTCCCTGTTTAACCACCAGTTGAGATCCAGCACACTGGACAATCCAGCACATCTGTGCAAATGTTCCACTAGTCCCATAACAACCATTGAAGAGCCCTCATGTGGGCCCAACATAAAGGAATGCCCACATCCCTGAAAGAGATAGAACTGTGCATGCTAATGGAGAAGGAGACAACTAGATTTGAAGAATCACCAGTTCTATGGCCTGAAGGCATAAAGGAGAAGGTTGGCCCCTGTTTAATCTGCAATTGAACCCTCCCCCTAAATGGATGAGATACTGTGTGGGAGTAAGAATAGACTTCTTTTGATAAGATAACCAGCTCTCGCAGCTCCTGATAACAGAGTTTGAGTGTGCAGTTTTGCCAAATAGCAGTATGGGGTGAAAAGAAGCCAGTCGTCCTTGTAATGGTGAGTGTGAATGCTGAGGGAGTGAAGATGACAAGAAAAAGATCTGACTATTCGGCAAAAAACGTATGGAGCAGATGTAAGGCTGAATGGTAGAGCACAAAACTGAAAAACCTGGTTGTCGTGCACAAGGTAGAGATAATGCTTTCAAGACTTGGCAATTGGGATATGAAGGTAGGTATCTGCGACATCAAATTTTGTGATCCATAGTCCGGGTGAAAAGACCCACCAAAGGGCAAGAAAGGACTACATTGTAAAGCAAGGATGCTAGAGGAAACAATAGAGATGAGAAAGGTCGATGACCAGTCGCCAATTGTTCAGTACTACAAACAGCTGAGAATAAAAACTCTTGAAAGAGGAGGTGATGTGCTCTATGGCTTCTTTGTGCAGAAGATCCTGGATGGCTTGTGCTTGACGGTTAGAAGTAAAAGGGTCCTTGGGGAGTGGAAAGCCAACCGGTATGAGAGACAGAGAAGGAGGAGGCATGAACTGAATGATCAATCTGCTCCTGAGAACTTGAATGACCCACTGGTGAACGTCTCCCACCGGATCTGATCCAATAAGGTAGTCACTGATGATGACATATGTGCCTCACCCTGAAGGAGAATCCCTGCTGGTAAGGTAGAAATCACTCTTATGTTCCAATGGATTATGGCACTGAAGCAAGAGGTCTGGAAACTCGATTGGGAGATGCAGTAAACCATCCTGTAAAAGAACTAGGGGACAGTCGAGAAGCCAGCATAAAAAGTGAAGAATGTAGACATGCCACATCTACACAAGTTTCCACAGAGCCTGGAATTCCCACAAAAATAAACTGTCTAAGAAAAGGAGCTTCTCTGAGATTTCTAAGAGCTGATGTAGGAAGGCAAACTCCCTCCAATACAGCATATCTTTCCAAGAGATCCCAATAACAAACCAACCAAGAGACCAAGGAGAGAGAAAGCAGAAGCCGATAACCTGACCAAAGTGGAAGTCAACGTAGTCGACTATGATTCTCCAAAATTTGAGCAGGAGATTTATGATTGGTCTCAGAACAGCTGCAAAGATGATAAAAAATGCAAAACTGGTGTGACAGATGAAATCTGGAAAACAGATGATTAAGATGAACAGTGGCATTTTGACTAAAACCACAAATAAGAAGTATAGGGTCTAACCTCTGAGAGTCCAAATAAGGGTTCTCCAAGTGATGGAAAGCTAAAGCATGCTGATCCAATAAATGAGAAGTACAAAGCATAGCAGCACCTTCCCTCAATTGATCTGCAAACCTCCTTGCATGAACAACAATATCTGGCAAAATTAGAAGGACCAGGTAATCAGACAAACTAGTTTCTCTCAGTAAAGAAGGTGAAGATTCATAAGTCACATGAGAAATACTCAAAACATTACAAACATGGTGTACTAGTTGTAAAAAGGGTGCAGGAGACAGAATGTCCATCTGAGGTTCAGGAGTAGCTGTCTGAGCAAAAAAAGATGTTGGAAAAATAGAGTCTAAGTTCTAGTTAGTCCACCCTTGATCTCCCACAAACTCAGCCTTGGGACCAACAGGAGAAAAACATCAGACTGCAGGTAAGATTCCACCTCTCTGCTTATAAGGAACTGTATGTACTCTGTGTTAGGTGCCCCCCTCCCCAAGCACCAGAATAACGTTAGACTCGTGAGGTGGTAGAGGAGGAGCATCAGGCGACTCCGTGTCTGAAACGTGAAGATAAGTATTCATATTTGAAAAATGTCTCTAAAATATTTTGTTGTTGTTGTTATCACAAAATTAAGAAAATAAGCAGGAAACTCAAGCCCCATGAAGATTATATAAAACAATTCAAAAGAATGTTTTGGAAAGGTAGTAATAGCACTGAAGAAAAACTCACAGTAAACACATAAGACCATCTTTGTGATTTTTTGTCATTGAGAAAAAGTGAAGAAAGAATAATGGGCAGTTTATAGGCAGATCAGGTACAGAGGGTGCATTGACATAGGTGAAGAAAGTCATAAGATTAAAATTACTAGGGGAGATTTTATGGGGTATAAAGACTGGAGCAAGTGAGGTAGAATTCATACCAATGCTTAGATGGGCAAGGAAGAGAACCTTTAATTTACTCTATCTACAGTAGATTCTAGATGTACTTATAAAATTTCTGCTATCAATGTTGTTACTATATAGTATATGAATGGTTTCTTTCTTGCAAAGCAAAGTACATTGATAGAACCTATATCAATTACAAAGAAAAATTAACTTATTTTATATTTAAACATTTTCAAAATCAGCATTTTAATCAAAATACATATGCCTTGATGTATTCTTAACACATGACTGATAGAACTTGGTGCACAGAGAAGATTTAAATCATTAGTTATATTTCTTTTTATCGTTTCACAGGTTGTGAAGTGAAAGCATTGTACAAGTATATACTTAATGAGCTTTGGAGATACTGCTCCTTTACAACTTGTATATAAATCATCCATTCAATAGTGTACATTCCATAATGAGTGTTTTAATGTACATATACATACATCTAAAAATCATTAGCTAAGCAAGGCCAATGCAATGTTAAAGCCATATGTTTATATAAACTCTATAAATCTTACTTATGTTAAGGTACAATAAGTTCCCATTAACTCTGTTACCCATTTCTCCCTCCAATACATAATAAGTGGTTCCTTCACCTGTTAAAACAGCTGCCTAATACTACAGTAACTACCTCTAATAAATGTCACTATACCTTACCTATATCTTACACAGAAAAAATGCAAATATCACATATAGTGATACTATAAATTAAGGGAATATTTAATTAAATATCAATAATCAATTAATGAATTTTATCAGTGACAATCTTAATATTAAATATTCCATGCACTCCCCTCCACAGAAAAAAGCATACTTTAAAAGTGCACTTTATCATATTTCTAAAACTTAGTGATAATTGAAATATTTATAAATAATAAATTAAGAAAAAAAGAATTTTTTTTGTTTTATCTTATGTGCAATACAAAAAAAAACACTTTTGGAATTTTTATTGATTAAAACACGTAATAATTTTTAGTTTAAAAATTGGTAAAGGAGCCAAAATCTCAACAATAATAAATAGTTTTAAAACAAGATAAATCTAAAAGAATTTTTAATTTACAGTTGTATCATAACATGAGCTTAGAAGAATATTTTCATTTAATTTTGTCCCTGCTTAAGCTGCACACCGAAAAACATAATTACTAAAATACTTCTAAAAAATTACAAAAAAAAACAAAAAAAAACTAACAACATGCACACATTCATTCCAATTAGATCTAACTTTTTCTTTTTATCAAAAATACTGCAATACTTAAAAAAAATGTAAAAGTAAACAAATTCAAGATTTAATTTTCTTCAATCTGTAAGTAAGTTAAACTGATAATAAAACTTAATGCCAAAGATACTATAATAAATATTAGTTACTGTATAGTGCATTTTGTGTAAAAAAAAAAGATTCAAATAAAAACTACCTTCATCATATTTCACATCATAGATTCCACTTGTAATCCATTTCTTTTTCTGATTATCCCAAAATACTGGATTTGGCTGACCCAAATATAAAAAGGAAGAAGGAAGTCTAGAAGAGCATAAAAGTTTCATCCACATTAAAATAGGAGAGTAAAGGAAGAAGAAATAAAATCATATAAAAAAAAAGGTGAGAGTAATATACAGTGGAAATTTCTATTAGAGTTAGAAAACCTTAAAATCTTGTCAACAAGCACATCTTGAACAAAATATGAAACTAAAATACCACAATTAATCTTAGAAATAACTTAAAAAACGTTTGCCCAATATTTTATTGAAGTTTTAGACTAACTATGCCCTATAAACATGACAATGTTTAGCTTTTTATTATATAAACTATGAAAATTAGCTTCTATTTTATGCACATTGTCAAAATAAGAAATGCAATGATATACAACAGCAAAAAACTTACAATATGAACCGATAAGGAGCTTATTCTAGAATCAGTAGAAATATCTGGGATATTTTCTAAATATTAAATATTTGGAAGAACAATAAGAACATTAGCTTACTTTATAGTTATTAGAAAGGTTTGTGACATCTCTTGTTCATATCGTTTCACTTCAGCTTCAACAAATTCGGCTGCAGCTGTGGAAGTCAACCCAGAGGGTGGGGACTTTGGTGGAACAACATTTAATTTATATGGCATGTGAACAATGTCCTTCCTTTCTTCAACTAAGAACAGAATTATACTGCTCATCAAAAACTATTCAAAAGGCAAAGAACATTTAATATTTGTGTATTATACTGAATACTTTAATGATTTATGTAATACAAAAATAATAATAAAAAGCAAAAATAGGTTAGCATTAACAAAATGTAAAGTTTTTGTAAAAAAAATACCAATAACAAATATTCTAACATTTAATTTTAGTTGCATTGCAATATTATTTAATGAACGATACACACTTTACTCAACAAGTAAAATTACATTATAATGATACCATTAAAACCATCTGACCAGCATGATGTTAGACTGACCAGTTTGTTTGAGTATTGTTCATGCCACTACTCTCCTGGACTACTAAACTGAAAACTTCAGTGGAAAAGAAAGAGAAATTAACAATAAAATCTAATAATTTACAAACTAAAGCAAAATCAATTTAAAGAGAAAGTTTCATATAATCAATAATGAGAATACAGTTTATCAACATTCTACCCTTAGGGCTGCTTGAAAACCAATATTACTAAGGAATTATATATAACTTCTTACAGTTTAACTGATTTGAAAATTTTAGAGGGCTTGGTTTGTTTGAATTTCACACAAAGCTACACGAGGGTTATCTGTGCTAGCTGCCCCTAATTTAGCAGTGAAAGGCAAGATGAAAGGCAGTTAGTTATTACCACCCACTACCAACTCTTTTACCAATGAATAGTGGGATTGACCGTCACAATATATCACACACATGGCTGAAAAGGTGAGCATGTTTGGTGGGATAGGGATTTGAACCTGCAACCTGTAGTTTGTGAGTCGAGCGCAATAACCACCTGCCAATTTTATATAGAAGATCCACAGAAGCTAAAGTATAAAAACTTGAGTAAATATTTTTAAGTTAAAAAATCAGACTGACTACCTAATAAAATACAGTGTATCCATTCCTAAGCCTATAATCTTCCCATATCTGCTGTTTCTCAGAAATGTAAAATGTACATAACATTAAACTTGTGTCAAGTTGTGAAATAGCCAATTCTACTATTATTTTATGGTTTTGTTTACCATTCATTTATTATTCATTCTGTTGTTTGAATTTTTAGTTACATTAATGCACTAACTCACCTTCTAGCTAAAGCATGTTGATTTTGAGTATGTATGTACAGTGTAGCCCCGTTATAACGAGATTGTTGAGGTCCATAAAATGTCATAGCGAAACAAGCGGGGTTGCGCTAAATTGGGGTTCAAGAAAATCACTGCTCAAATCAGGCAAGAAAAAAGAAGATTGTGTAAGTACTTTATTTCTTATTTCTCATATTTATTCTTTATTTATTATTATAAAAGTAACTAAAATTTAGATTTTTTTTTGGTGGTTATGAGGTTGGTCGAATTGACCTATACCGTTTTGAGCTAGGGTTGAGAAAATAACATAAAAAGTATAAGGATTTAGTGAAAAAGAAACGTTTGAAATGCATTTAGGAGGTTTTAGGGATTACACAAAGGAAACTTGAGATTTTTTAGATGACGAAACGTATTTTTAATTTTGACATGAAAATCACTTTGCACTCAGACTAGTTAAAGAAAAAGAATCGATATTTTCATGAATAAGTTTAAGTAAAAATGCTTCATTATAAAATCTGATATTTTGTGTGCAAAAGGCTTCTAATGTTTACTATAAGTCTACAAAATTT